CTGGGCCTGGGCACTGTCCCTGAGTCTCTTTTGCTCAAGGCTAGGGCTCTACTACTTGAGCCACATCACTACTTCCGACTTTTTTTCTAAGGAGTTTATTGGTGATGAGTCTCATAGACTTTCCTGCCTAAGATGGCTTCAAACTATGATCCTCAGATCTCAGCCTCCTAAGTAGCTAGGATGATGGGTGTGAGCCACTGTCATACAGCACTTTTTCATTCTTAAACAGACAAACTGCAAGGCTGACTAACCTCTTCTACATTGTTTCTCTGAGAAATCCACAATGAAATTGTGTAGGCCTTGTCTTCTGTTTCTTTGGAGTGTAACTACAAATGGAACCAACTTGCTGTCACCCAAAAGTAGTGCTTGTAAGAGCCTCTATGTCATATTTGTCACACAAGCACAATGATGATTGGCTGGTTTGAAAGTTCTGAGGCACTGCTGACTTTCCTTTCCTCCTCCTGTTTCATTTCCTCCTTACTGTTTCCACAGTAACTAGCATATTATTTGGAGATGCTCTGTTATAAAGTTTGAGACTCTGTTGTACAGATGTAATGGCTCCCAGTATTGAAAGGTGGTTTACTAATACCTTGATATCACATGTACTTCTATATTCATCTGCTAACATTTTTTGGGGTCACTTGTGAGATCTGGCCTTTGGGAGGAATGATCAAGAACACCATACTGGCCCACTGCAAGTGGGATTACTGCAAGTCCTTTTTTTCCCCTTCATTCCAGTCCTGTGGCTTGAACTCAGGTCTTACCACTGTCCCTGAGCTTTTATGCTCAAGGCTAGCACTCTTGTCACTTGAGCCACAGCTCTACTTCTGGGATTTTGTAGCTAATAAATAAGAGTCCCATGGATTTTCCTGCCCAGGCTGGCTCCCAAGTAGCTAGATCTCAGCCTCCCAAATAGCTAGAATTACAGGCATGAGCTACCAGAGCCTGGCTGCCTCCAAGTTCCTAATGAGCTTGACCTTCCAAATTTCCTGTTGACAACAGTGTGGTCCTGTGGTCATTTGTTGTCTCCTCATTTCCTCCTCCCCAAGGGCCCAGGCCTGGGTACAGCGGCTCTTCTTCCTGGGAGAGGCTCTGCAGAGGGTGATATGACTGACTCCTTCTCTCCAGGTGGCAGCAAATGTTGCAATCACCTTGCTCACACAGGGCCTATGATGTCCTCAGGTAGGTGGTAGGCCGGAAGTGTGGAGCTGGCATGAATCTCCATGTAGTCTGGGCCAATTATCTTTCTAAGGGTGTTGTAGATATGGTTACCTTCTCCTGTATAATGCATAATCTGCCATTCAGGTTTGCTTTGCAATTTCCTGAGTGCACTTGCTGTAAGGGGTCTGGCTTGGACCCCTTAGGTAACTAAATTCATACCTAAAGGCCACATCTTTATGTTCTGTGATGCTAGAACATGTGCCTTTCTACTGTATAGCATCTTTTTCTTTCAATTTTATTGTAAATAGTACAAAGAGGTTACAATTCCATAAGTAAGGTTATGAGCACAATGCTTTTCAATATCACCCCTTTTCTACCATTCTCCCCATTTTTCTCTGGCCTATCCCTACACTTAGGTTACAAAGTTCAATTTTTATATACTGTATATTGGTTATAATCACATTTGTTCACCTTTCCTCAATCTATTCATATCATAGTCAATAAAATAATGGCAGAAAAAAATCCCTAACCTCAAGTAGAGAAGGTCATGCATGTGAAGCAGGCTTATAGAACACCAAACAGGCATGGTCAGAGAAGAAACATGACTTGACATATTATGGTGTAAATACTAAATACTAAATATGCAGAATAAAGAACATTGAAAGCAAGAGAGTCAGCAAGTAACTTACAATGGCAAGCCTTTTGAATAACAGAAGATTTGAAGGGCATGGAAGGCTGTAATTCAAGCCCTGAGGAATAACAATTGCCAACCTAAAGAAGTGAAAAACAGGGAAGTTATCCTTCATAATTGAGGGAGAAAAGAAAACCTTCCATGAATAACAAAAGCTAAAGATACTCATGACTATTAAATCAGCACTGTAAAAGATACTAAGAGAAATCCTATCCACAGAAGAAAAAGCAAAACAAAACAGGAAAATACAGGAAATGTTAAACCTTACCAGATTAGCATAGCAGGAAAGAAGCAAGTACCATAAAAACAATAAAATGACAAGAAATGGGAAATATATTTCAATACAATATTTAATGTTAATATTTTAAAATCTTTGATCAAAAGACGCAGAATGACAAGTCAACCATATATTGCCTACAAAAAACACATCTCTCTGACAAATACAGGCTTGGGTAAAAAGATAAGGATCTAAGCAAATGGATGCCAAAAGCAGGTAGGAACAATTATACTTCCATCTGAAAAAATAGATTTCAAAATAAATTAATCTGAAGAGACAAAAGCCACTTAATAAAGTGAATGATTCACAAGGGGGAAATTACAGTTGTTAATGTATATGCACCAAAAAACAGTGCATTCAAGTTCATTAAACAAATACTTCTGGTAAGTCCAGAAGCATTGACAGATCTCAGTACAATAATAATGGAAGACTTCACTACCTCAGCCTCACCAATAGAAAGGTCATCCAAACAAAAATATCAATAGAAAAACTTCAGAACTAAGTGACCCCAAATGGACTCAGCAGACATCTAGTGTTTTCTTCTGAAGTGGCATAGCACACTCTGAGCAGTCCATTGAGTGTCTCCAAAGGGGATCATACTTGCTGGGTGCTGGTGGCTCATAACTGTAATCCTAGCTACTCAGGAGGTGGAGATATGAGGATGGAGGTTCAAAGCCAGCCCAGGCAGGAACATCTGTGAGATTCTTATCTCCAATAAACCACCAGAAAACCGGAAGTGGCACTGTGGCTCAACTGGTAGAAAACTAGCCTTGAGCTGAAGAGCTGAGGGACAGCGCCCAAGCCCAGAGTCCAAGCCCCATAACTAGAACATAAACAAAACCAAAACAAACAAGAAAAGGGTCATACTCTAGAACACATATGTTTCAGCAAATACTATAAACTCCCACTATAATTGAATTAAACTCTTAATTCAACAGCAAAAAATACTATACAAAGTATTCAAACACATTATTGAATGACAAATGCATCACTGAAGAAATAAAGGAACAATCAAAAAAGTTCTTTTTTTTTTTTGCCGGTCATGGGGCCTGAACTCAGCCTGGGCGCTGTCCCTCAGCTCTTCAGCTCAAGGCTAGCGCCCACAGCTCCACTACTGGCTTTTTCTACTTATGTAGTTGGTGCTGAGGAATAGAACCCAGGGCCTCATGCATGCAAGGCAAGCACTCTACCACGGAGCCACCTTCCCAACCCCTCAAAAAAGTTCTTGAATCCAATAAAAATGAAAAGACTGTTTCTTCTACAATAAAAAGCACAGTATCATTGTTGTTCTGAGGTGATTTTTTTCAGTACTGAGATTTGTATGTGGGGCCTTGTGCTTGCTAGGCTTTTCCTTTGCCACTAGAGCCAGGCCTCCAGCCCTGCTATGATTCTTGACAGGATCTCTCAAACTATTCTCTCAAAACTGACTTGTGCTTAACTTGTTCTGTGATTTTTGATGCCTTTTGTTTTTTTGTTGTTACTGATTTTCTTTTGTGATCTGTGCTGGTCTAGTTCCTGGGCTGGTAGAAACTTCACCTTCAGACCTACTTGTGAGAATTTACTGGAGGTCTTTATACATGACAGTTGAGAATAACATCTGGATCCACTCATTTTCTACTCCATCTTTTCTTTCCATTACAGAAAACTCTCCTAGGCAGTCTTGTCCTCAGCACCTTTATGATTTCATGCAATGTACATTGCTATTTTATATCCAGTATAGTATCTGTAATGTGACAGTATGGTGGTAAGTCCTAGCTTTTCTCTGTGTATTATTTTAGGATATGTTATCGTATTAAACCAGTAGGGCTTTTGGCCCTTTAGTCTACCTGGAAAGTATGATAGGGGCAAATATGGAAATGGAGTAAAAAGGACTTCAATTATCCGATCTATACCATAGTCTCAATTCTAACTATGAGAAATGCCTAGAGAACTTTTAAATTTTATCAGTGATAAGGCTCCATCTAAGACCAGAGGTATCAGACTTTCTGGGGTTGGAGCCATGAATTTAAAAGTTCCTTATTGACTCTCCTCTCATGCAGCTAGGGTTGAGAACCATGGTTTACTAGCTTTAATGCCCAAGCTCTGGTCAAAGTGCAGCTTCTGAAAAGCATATCTGAAAGCAGTTAAAGGAGGTCAATGTTCAGGGCCAACCCAGGAGATCTGATGCTGTCAGGCCTTCGAGCCCTTCCCCCACTCTCTCCCAGTTTTGATCATTTTGGCACTGGGAATTGAAATTGGGGCTTGCTAAACACATACTCTACCACTGAGCTATAGCACCAGCCCACAATGTTGTCTAAGTAACTCATTTCATGTGTGCACCCAGGACGGGAAGCCACTTCATTGCAAAGTAAAAGGAAGTGGAGGAATCTTCCAAATTAAAGAGGAGGACTCTATTTATTCTTGAAATGTGTGTTCTGAAATACAATCTCAAGGATTCAAGCATGCTATTAGAAACGTTATCAAGCTGTCCTCTGGTAGCTCATTCCTGTAATCCTAGCTACTTAGGAGGCTGAGATCTCAGGATCTTGGATCAAAGCCAGCCCAGGCCAGGAAGTCCAAGACTCTAATTTCCAATTAACTAAAAAAAGCCAGAAGTGGAGCTGTGGCTCAAGTGGTAGGGCACACTAGCCTTGAGTACAAAAGCTCAGGGACAATGCCAAGGCCCCAAGTTCATATCCCAGGACTAGCACAAAAGAAGAAAAGAAAAAAATATCAATGTTATGGAATGCATTGGGATTCAACCAGGGTGAATATAGAAACATTTTCTTGGATATCTGTAAAATCATCAATATTTTCCTGTGGTAGGTACTGGCCCCAATTCTTGGAGCATGACATTAGGTCTCTGCTGTTGAAGCCTGTGTGTTGTTTCAGTATGCAGTAACCAGATGTGAACTGAACTCAATTTGGGAGACAGAGAAATGTGAGAAGTGTTTTTGCATACCAAGTGGAATTCAATGCTGCAACAAGTAAGTCTCAGGCCAGTGGTATGGGATGGAGGGGGGGTAGGGGGGGTGGGGGGGGTAGCCATTTCTAAAGTGCAACTGCCCCCTCTCAAAATCCCCTTTCCTCAGATTATGTTTTCTTTTGTATTTTGAAACAGGGGTCTATGTTGCCCAAGCTGGTCTTGAATTCCTGGGTTCAAGTGATCCTTGCCAGTAGCTGGGACTACAGGTTATGTGCCAGACTGGGTTTTCTTTATCAAATTCACAGCCCTTGATACTAAGGTTTGTACTTGCTAGACAAGTGCTCTACCACTTGAGCCACATGGCCAGTCTTTTTTTTGTTTTTTTTTTTTAGGTTATTTTTTCAGATAGGGTCTCTTTTATGCAGGCTAGCCTTAAAACAAGATCTTCCTACCTATGCCTCCTGCGTACCTAGGTTAATAGGTTTGTACCACCAGGCACAGCTTATTTGTTGAGATGGGGTTTTTGCTAAGTTTGTGACTGGACTAGCCTCAAACCATAACTCACCTGATCTCCATTCCCTGAGTAGCTGGGTTTATAGGCTTAAGCTAGGTAAGAGGCTAGGTAGAGTAGTGTAGACAGTGAAAATGAGCAAGGTACAGACAACTTTCAATACACACACAAACACACATCTCCTGGTTTTCCAGTCACATACCCAGCCTCTCCTGTTATCAACACCCCTGCTACAGGGCACATTTTTAATAGGGAATGAATCCACACCAATCTTTATTGACATTGTCCAGTATAGAGTACACATGAGCATTCACTCAATGCTGTGGGGGATCCTGGTGTCCGGATAGTTTTCAGTAGTATTCCTTCAGGTACAATAGATCAATTTTCCATGGTAAGTATTGTGTATTTGGCTCTGTGGCATGAAGTTCATTCCTGTCATTGGCAGCCATCAGCACCACTTTTCATCTTGTGAAAATGCAGCTCTGGAGCTGGAGTTCAAGACTAGTGTTTGCACAGCATAGTGAGAATCCCACCTCAATAATCTCAAAAAAACAGATGGACATTGGTGGCCTACAAAAGCCTATAATCCTACTCAGGATACTGAGATGTGAGGATCATAGTTAAAAGTCAGCCTGAGCAGGAAAGTCTGAGCAAATCTTATCTCCAGTTAACCACGCAAAAAACTAAAAGTGGAGCTGTGACTTAAGTAGTAGAACACCATCCTTGAGAGTATAATAAAGGTCAGGGACAGCACCCAGACCCTGAGTTTCAAGCCCCAGGCTTAGCACCAAAAAAACAAAAACAAAAACAAGGGGCTGGGAAGGTGGCTCAGTGGTAGAGCGCTTGCCTTGCATGCATGAGGCCCTGGGTTCGATTCCTCAGCACCACATAAGCAAAAAGAAAAAAGCCGGAAGTGTCGCAGTAGCTCAAGTGGTAGAGCGCTAGCCTTGAGCTGAAGAGCTGAGGGACTGCGCCCAGGCCCAGAGTTCAGGCTCCACGACTGGACCCCCCCAAAAAACAAAAACAAAAAACAAAAAAACAAGACATCGCAAAAATAAAACAAAACAAAAATAACCCATCAGGGCATGACAACATTCCTAGCACTCTAGAGGCTAGAACTAGAGAATGATGAATTTGAGGCCAGCCAGGGTACATATCAAGACCTTGTCTTAAAAACATAATCTTAAGCAAACTAACCTGGAAAACAAGAACCCAAAGCTTAGCCCAAAGTTGGTACCCATCAATCATTCCCTAGAGCGTTTTCCCATCAGTCCCTGGCAAATGCCATTCTCCATTCTATTTCTATGAATGGGAGTACTGTAGGAAGCTCCCATAGTGAAATCGAATAGTATTTGTCCTTTGGAGAGCAGTGTCCTACACTAAGCACAATGTCCTTAAGATTTGTGCATTTACAATCTACCAGAATTTGCTTCCTTTTCCAGGACTTTAATACTCCTTTTTATGTATATGCCATTGATGCTACATATTCATCTCTTGATGGACACTTTGAACTGCTACTGACTCAGTTTTATGTATTTTTATGCCTGGTGATACTGAGGTTTGAACTCAGAGCCTTGCACCTGCTAGGCAGATGCTATACCACTTGAGCCATGCCTCTAGACTTTTCTGCTTCATTATTTGTTTAATAGTATTGCACTTTTCCCTAGAATGTGAGTCTCCTATTTATGCTTCTTGTATAGCTGAGAAGACAGTTGTATGCATGTCACCTCAGCTTTTTATTGCTTGAGACAGAGTCCCACCAACCTTTAACTTCAAACCTCCTGATCTTAGCTTCCTGAGTAGCTGAGACTACAGGATGAACCAACAGACCTGCCTCATTTTTGTTTCTGAAATTTGGTCAGTATCATTACTCTTAAAGACTTATATTCAAATAAATATCTAAATGTTTATTAATGCTGTTCTAGAAGTTGTCCTGGTGGTCACCCTAGCCTTGATCTTGGAGCTTTCTTTTTTTTTTTTGTCGGTTGTGGGGCTTGAACTCTGGGCCTGGGCACTGTCCCTCAGCTCTTCAGCTCAAGGCGAGCGCTCTACCACTTGAGCTACAGCGCCACTTCCGGTTTTCTGGTGGTTAATTGGAGATAGGAGTCTCACGGTCTCTCCTGCCCGGGCTGGCTTTGAACCACGATCCTCAGATCTCAGCCTCCTGAGTAGCTAGGATTACAGGCGTGAGCCACCAACGCCCGGCTGATCTTGGAGCTTTCTAAGAACAGGAAAGATCTGAGCACAGGCAGAGGGAAGAGCTGAGAGGTGCACTTGATGACATGCCATGTGCTTACTGCTTTACTGTCCTCATGATGGCCCAAAGGTCATGTAAGTGTTCTCTGCTGGGTTGCTAGTAGAGGTGAAAGGTGTCTATGAGCAGGTGGGACACAGAGCACCTGAAGACACACCCGCCGCAGCCATCTCTTTCCCAGCATCTCCAAATGTACCTGATGTCTCCCTGTCATTTAGCCTTGGTCGTGGTGCTTTGTGAGTACAAGAATGGTTTTATGCTTGTTTTGGCTGTGCTGGGGTTGTGGTGCAGGGCCCTCACTAGTTAGCAAGTGCTCTGCCACTGAGCTACACCCCCAGGCCAGCAGGAACAGTTTGGGCAACAGCAGCACTGTGTCAGGTAGCACTTCCCAAATTTGCCTCTCAGAGTAAGCATGTGACTCATCAGAAGGCTGATTCCTATCAAGCACAAATGTCCAGGGTTCTGCCCACAGTGTAGAGCAGGCCTCACAGCAAATGGTCAGAGAAGGAAGGATGCAACCTGGAAGACTTGTAGGGCAGGCTTCCTGGAGTAGGCTCCTAGGCCGTGCATTGGCCTGGTATAAGTCAATCTTGATTTTTGTATCTCTGGGTGTTTGACCTAGTCTTTGCAGCAAAAGCCATTGTGACCTGGATCTACATCAGGTTAAGAGTTGCTGGACCATGAGACCTTCTTCTCGGCTTCCCTTGGATCTACAATAGAACAGAACCAGGAGTGCTATTGGCAGAGAAGCAGAAAGAGCCTCGGGGCTGAGGCTGGGTTGGAATCTCTATTCCTTGTACATTAGCTATATGTGCTTCGGTATGTTTCTGATTTTCCCCAATGTATAATAAGGATAACCTGGTGGACATGAGAATGAAATAAGATGGTGCACATATACTCATGAAGCCAGAAAAACCACTAGCACCATCTCTATGCCTACGACAACCTTGAATGTGGTCAAGGCTCAAAGTATATCTTTCCTTCTGTTCTGTCATTTGTCTGTGACAAGTCTGGGAAATATGTTTGTTTTTTCCTACTGTTCTTAAGCAACTCTTTCTCTGAAATTGCCACTCAATTAGGTAAAAGGCCAAGGTCATCCAGCCTGCAGTTCTGGAATCTGATTACTGTTTGCCTGTAATGTTTGCTCTGAGGCTCTCTGTTTCATCTGCAAGGCTAGATATGGATTGATTTTTAAAAATGCATCCAAGCCAGTACCGGTGGTTAATACTCTCATCCTTGCTTCTCAGGGAGCTGAAATGTGGAGAATCTAAATTTAAGGTTAGTCTAGCTAGAAAAGTTAGGTAGATACCATACCCAAAATAATCAGAAAAAAGTAAGACTAGAGGTTTACACATGGTAGGATGCCAGTCTGATAAGTATGAGGCCCTGAATTTAAACTGAGTACCACCAAGAAAAAAAATAATAAGAAGCAATGCATCTAGTAATATGTCCCACATTAGATGGCAGAATTATGTAATTTTATTTCCTACCAGAAACTTGGTAATTAGGCATTCCTTCAATAACCACTACTTTGAACATTTGTATTAGAATAAATGTGTATTATATACAATTTTTATTTTAAACAGTTTGAAATATACTACTTGGTTTATGAGGTTCATTACATTTCCAAAACGTTAATGATCCCAAACCAACCCATGCATTCTTTAAGCAATAATTCCATTATTCTTCCCTGACCTGGTAACCTTTAACTTGTTTTCTGCAATATAAAATTTCCATTCTAGATATTACTATCTATCTGTCTGTCTATCTATCTATCTATCTACTTACCTACTTTTGTGCTGGTCCGGGGGCTTAAACTCAGGGCCTAGGTGCTGTCCCTGAGCTCTTCTGCTCAAGGCTAGAGTTCTATCACTTGAGATACAGCTCCACTTCTGGCTTTTTGCTAAGTAACGGGAGATTTAGTCTCATGGACCTTCCTGCCTAGGCTGGCTTTGAATTGCAACCCTCAGATCTTGGCTTTGTGAGCAGGTAGGATTGCAAGCATGAGCTACTGGCACCTGGCTCCTATAAATCAAATCACAATATTTGTCTTTTTTGCCTGTGGCTCATTCACTCATCACATTTTCAGTATTCATCATGCTGAACATGATATTATTCATTCCTTTCCTTCCTGGAATACTATACCATGTGATTTTAAGGTCACATTAATCCATTAATTTGTTGATATGTGGGCTGCTTTACTTTTGGTTTAGAGATACTATAGCAATGAACATTACAATTACAATACCACTGCCCACTAAACCTGTAACTTTTATTCTATTTTTTTCATTTCTGTACCTTTTTCTTCTTTTAGATAGTGGACATCAAACCTTATGTTGCAATTTTTGGTTTGATTTTTTTTTATTTAATTTCATTTAGCATTTATACTATTCTATCTCATCAAAATCCTTCAAAGTACTATGTACTTCAACTTAATCATTCCTTAATCTTAAATCAAAGCCTGAGAGCCAATGACACAATTCCATAGTTTGCTTGCATTTACTATGCCAATGAGTCTGTGCTGTGCCCAGTCCTCTGAGTTCAGTGCTCAGTACCCTAGTTGGCCATAATAGACTTTTCACCATCTTCCTTTTTTGCCCCATCAACAGCTGAAAATCCAGGTGTGCTGGGGGCCAGACAAAGGACAGAAGAGTGACACTGGTCTAGAACAGCTTTGGAAAATATTCTGAAATGTCCTTTGTTACAATATAGGCCAATAAATCTTTCTTTTGAAAAAAATGATCTCAAAGGGCACCAAGATGGCTTCTTCTATACACTTGGGGCAGAACAATTTACACCCAGAGCCTGTGGATGGCATCAAGGGGAAATGAACCCTAAAATTCCTTGTGTCACTGAATGCATAGCTGTATTTCCCCACTTCCACCAGCTTCTCCCTGGGCTCCTTGCTCTGGTCTAGGGTGCATCTTCGCTTCTGTTGGTTGAATTAACTTCTCTTCTAAAGGACGAGGCCTGGGACAACTTTTGCCCTCCTACTTCTAGCAGCATTATTGTGACCACTTCTTGATCAGGAAGGTTGGGAAGACCCTGTCTAGAAAAGTTCCCAGTACCAGAGTAGCCCAGGCCAGTCCCTGCCCCTGTTAGCACTTCCTTCCTGCTGTGTGTATGGGAATGCAGGAAGTGTGGTAGGGATGGTCTGTGTGACTATAGTACAGACAGGTCAGGAACTTGGAGCCCACATTTTCAGGCTGCTAAAGAAATGCTTTTAGGTTGATAAGGGGAACCTCAGCCTGCTGGTGTGTGGACTGCTTTCTACATAGAGCTGTCTGGACAGAGAGGGTGAGGTGGTGCATGTCCTTTGCCTTCTAACAGGTCTTGTTTCAATGACAGAGTTCCTGTGCCTGTGCATTATGACCGAAGCAACTACAAGACAATCTTCCATCAAGAGTACTGCACCTATAGTGTGGTGGAATGAGGTGACCCAGAAAATACATGCGTTGTTTATAGCTGGGTATTGTAATGGGCTTGGGCTCAGTGCTCCCAGCTCCCAGCTGAGGGTGTCTTGGACCTCCTAGGATAGGCCTCCTCTTCCTATAGTCTGATTGTGTAGCACTACTGACTTAAAAAAAAAAAACCCAAACTTTTGGACCATCTTGAAAATATGTGTAAAGTTACCAGTCTTGCACTAATTTAATGCTCATTATGAAGCCTATTTATCTTTCTAGGAGGAGTCAAAAATAGATACAAGGAAAAGTATTAGTATTTTTCCTACTCTCCCATAATTCATTGTTTGTCCTGTCTCTGGAGAGCACAGTCACTTTGGATGGGCTAATGATGTGCTATGTCCTGCTTTCTTTCTGATGCATGATGAAAATGTCTCAAGATGAAATTGTATCTCTTGAGATACTTGTAGTTACCTTTCCTTCCTCTTCCTCAGGGAATGTTCTTTTTGCTGTGTCCCTAAAACTTGTTATGTTTGCTTGAGTTTAGAGGTCAGAGCAAGATAGGCTGAAAAATGCCCCACCATCCCCTGACCTCATGCAGCCTGACAGGACAGTCAAAGATTAGGGCTCTGTCTGTGGGGGATTAGCCTGGCTGCCAGGCTGCAATATTTACTAATATTTATTAAGAGCTGCTTTCTCCAGGTTGATTGACAGAGCAGGGCCTAGATATACATATGAGTCATATCACAAGCAAACACAGCTATCTGCTAAACAGTCAATGGGCAAGTGATTTCCCATGCCCTCAACCCTATGTGTTCAAACAATATGTGTGGGTTTTTTTTTTTTTTTGGTCCAGTCATGGGGCCTGAACTCTGGGCCTGGGCGCTGTCCCTCAGCTCTTCAGCTCAAGGCTAGCGCTCTACCACTTGAGCTACCGCGACACTTCC